ATACAGCTTTAGGACGCCCATTTATCAATGCTCTGTAACTAATCTGCAATATGCATCAATATTCGACACTAATGCATGAATAGTGCATATTACAATAAGCAATCAAACATAAACATCTTTTCATACATATAAAAGAACTTCAATAAAATTAGCCTGCAACAATTTAGAGACTGGTTGGAAGAAGTAACAGACAGTAGGCTCGTAATAATATTAAATGAATAATAGGAATGTCGCCGTGAACTTTGATAGGGTATTTGTTCACTTTAGAAATAGCTTTTATCTTCACATAGTACTGTGCGAACGTGTTAATCATGTTAAATAGTATATAGACTATTTCTAAAGTAAATAAGTGCTGCTGAAAGTCTATTGTGACGATTGATCCAGTAAAATTCCTTTTTTCCTATTAGTTAATAAGTAATGAATGAAAGATATAATTTACTGATTGAAAGAATATGTTATCAAATGTTGTTTCTTTTTATGAAATGAAAAGTTTGTGATTGATTCTTCCTTCAAATGAATTATTTCAAAAGACAGAAAAAGTTTTATGTATTTGTTCAGAATTATATAAATTGTTGTACAACTAGATAAAAAAAAAAAAACAAGGTGTTCTAAACTATACTTGAAAGATGTTTGAAAAACAGTTCTATCTATGTGATGAAATGGGTTATCTTGTGTATTCTTTTGATAACACTATTCTGAAACTTTCTTATAATTGTTTTAAGTCTATATGATAAACAATTCTGTCAGTTACATATTATCTTCAAAAACCTTTTTGTTATTTATCTTCTGCTTTTATTATTTCGATATCAATAAATAGCATTTATCTTGTATAAATATTCAAACGTATTGAATAAAGGTTAGAGTCAATATCTTACATTATATTGTGACATTATTAATGCAGTGCAAAGCATAGCATTTATGTAGTTCTTCACGAGTTGTTTTCTTTCTCAACGCACGTACTAAAGCTTGTCGTTTTGTATCGCGACAATCTCGAGAATGAAAAATCAGAAAATACTTATCGGCATGCACAATCATCAGTCATTCACACTTGAGAAAAGTTGAGTCTACTAGTTAAAAGAGAACGATCAATAGTATTGAAAATCGAATCGTTTCTATTCCCTAGCAGCGATGAGTGCGCTGGACACGCAAAATTTTTCTTCGAGTGGACAACACGAAAATTTGTTTAAAAGATGGTAGTAGGAATACATTGTCATGCTTTAATAGTTGCGTTATAGAATTCCATTTATATATGAATTCTACGATGTTTTTAAGAGTATCAGGCGTTGTAGACTCTTTTTATTTATAAGTATGAACATATCTCAAGTTAGCATCGAATTCTGAACAAATGTGAATATTTTATTCATCAAAACTTCAACTTTTATTTTTCTTAAAAATTTTTTTTCGTTAGATTCTGGTGAAAAATATATTATTTCATGCAAAATCCTATGCTAGTGATGAATATCTGATTGCTTTTAACTTCTTTCGCCTTAATCCTGAGTTAGATTACGACTTGTAGAAAAACGATGAAATTCCATAATGAACACTATTTATAATTTGTTATTTGATGCAACTATGAGTGTTGAAATCTGAACAATATTTATATCGAAAGCTGATTTGTATTTCACTTCGTTTCTTAGTAAAACACGAAACTCTCAGCTTCACAAAAAGAATTCATTTTTTGAAATTTCGTCACGACCGGTATTTTCGAAATAACTAAGCTTCAATTAAAAGAGAATCAATAAAATTTTTACTGATAATAGATTTAAATAGTCTCTGTCTAAAATAAAAGTTTCAAAGAATTGCTTTTGTCATTGTCGAGAAATACATTTTAATATGTAACAAAAATGAAATTTCGTAACGCTTGGTTACGCCGCCGTTCAAATACGCAATGAAAGTATCGAGATCGAACTAATATAATTTGTTTTAAATTTTTTCGAAGAACGTGTCGTTTACTTACACTAATACACAAGTGAAAATTAGGATTCAGGCACAGTTGTATATAGTACCCGCTTCTCTATGAGTTATTCAGAGTTATGCTATGACGAGATTTCTAATTTCTTAAATGGCTTTAGTCTGTAAATATAAAGATTCATACCAGCTTTGTAAGTTTAAAGCAATTTTTTGAAAAGTTAAGTTATAAATATTAAAAATTCTCAAAACTTTCACATGGAGAAATTAAAATTTTGTAGTAATTTTAGAGTTGCTACTTTTATAATAGAAATTGAACAACACACATGTGTTTCCTAATATAGAAATGGAAAGCAAATAAAAATTAAATGAATATATGTATGCTCAATAAATCTGAAATCTTTTGACTCAATTATGAAGATCATTTTTATAACAATTTTGAAAAAAATGCTTTTAATAAAATTTAATTTAATACTAACAAGTCCAACGAGAATTGTCGAACACGCTTCTAAAAAAAATAAAAAATATATTGTTTTTTTGACCTCTAAAGTGTGTGTTGAAGCTCAAAAAACAATACATTTTGAGTGTTTACATGCGCTTTCGGTCATGGTTGTCCGCTTGAGTATTCTAAAAGAAAAAACTTTCACCATAATTTAGGTAATGACGTCATCGATGGCTAAAGTAATTTGACTATAACTCTTATGCATCTTATTACATACGCTAAGAATAGATTCAACAGTATGAAACAAAAATTATGTAGGTTTGTTAATCCACTTATTTCTATATTTTACCATATGGATTATATATAGACATTAATTGAACTACAAGTTTTTTTTTTTAAATTTTCTATGATAATATCAAGCAGTAGATATTTTCTACATTTATTCATCAAAAGACAACTTATATTTTCTTATATCTGTCTTTTGTGAAATACGATCTAAAACCAATGTTGAAATATAAAGCTGAAACAATATGAATATTCCTCCTACTCTACCCCACAGACTGTTGCAAACATTGTTCATATATAATCAAAGGCCGTATATCAATAATTTCTCGTTCTAATATATGAGCTATTTCTTTATTGTATTTCCGGAAGATCAAATAAACGAATAATGAAGGTATATGTTCCGAAATGGATAGAATAAAGCAATCTTCTGTAATTAACAACAGCAGCTACATCGTGTTTCATATTTTAATCCTACAAAAATTGTGTTAGCAGCTGTTTAAAACTTTGCTTTCGACAAGGAATGCTTTCATTCCAAAGCTTTAAATATAACAGAATAGAACGCTTTCAGTTGATACCTTCCTTCAATTATAATATTCATGGAAGACTGAAATATTACTAATGATTTACTTAAATTGACTAACACTCATTAAAAAACATAATATTCCCAGTTTATCTCTTACAAGGAAAGAACTCCAGGTGTTACACGTCGATTAAGTCGATATTTTGCCCACCAATAGATCTTGGTGAAATTAGAAGAAGTTTAAAAGAGTACGCCCCAATACACTGTCCTTATTGAGTTACGAGCATTTTTCTGTCACAGGAAGGGCATATGTGAAAAATTCAATTAAGAAATTTTGCCCATAGATAGATCCTATGGTTATTAAAATATTCTGAAAATCTCAGCCCAAAAGAATGCTTTCTTCTTGAGATACTATATTTTGAAAACATTCGATGTCGTGAACTTTTCTTGTGGCACATATTGCTTTCCTTGAATATCCAATACCTCAAGAAGAAAAAATTCTTTTTTGAATTAAAGTTTTTAGGACTTGTTGATGACTATAAGATTCATCTATGGGTAATATTTAATAATTGGATTTTTTCATATATATATCTTGCCTAAGGCAGAAAATATAGAAAAACGCTCGTAACTGAAGAAACATAGCTTATGAGGAAGAACCATTTTAGACTTCTGCTGGTCTTTTGAAACCTACTGGTGTGCCAAGTATTAACTCAATCAGCGTGTCACACTTGGAGATCTTTCCTTGTTAGTCAAATCAGTGTTGCTGTTGACTAATAGACAAAAAACTATCCACATAAAACATTTTTTTATCAAATCAAAATCTTCATTTCAATAATGAGGTTGAAGAGGCAGTAGAGCGTAGGAATAAGATTAATCAGAATAAAAATAATATGAAGAATGTTATTATTAGATTTTTATTAAGAGTCATATTTGTTTTTTATTCATGCTTTCGACAAGTTATACTTGTCATTGTCATGAATAATATTAGAAGACAAAAACAAAAAAACTCTCTCTCTATCCATATATACAATACATTAATCAGACAACAAAGAAGTTAATTATAATTGAAAAATTATAATTTTCTATTAATTAGCTTATTTGTTTTCTTATTATACTTTGCATACTTATATAGATAGTGTTTTTGTTCTTGTTCTGTATCATTATTCCTGACAATGACAGATGTAACTTGTCGACAGCTTGAATAAATAAATATGATTTTTAATAAAAAGTCTAATAATATTTATCTTGTCAATTTAAAATTTATGAATGTCTAGTTCAAATTCAACAGATTGAAGTATGCAAAGAAAGAACTGTATTTAGCTAATATAGTAGACAGCTAACAAAACAAATGCTTAAATATTGCTAGCAAATATTGATGTTTAAAAAAAGAACCTTTAGACTTAAATTGAAAGTTAAAAAGAAAAATTAGTATAAACATTCAAACTTTTTTTCCATTCTTATATAACAGAACTCTCGCAACAGAGATTATTTCTTCAATATCATCGAGTGGCATCTATTGTTGCTTTATTTTGACATGTTATTGTTATCGTCCAATGCGATAAAAGTGCTACAATCTTTTTAATGTCAAACTCGCTGAAAGCAGCGCATCGTTTCAAAATAGTCTCCTGTTGTTATATGTATGCGTCGTCTATCGCTTTTATTATTCTTCCGGGAAGCAGAAGTGTGTTAGTGCGTCTTCTCTTTCTTTTTTTTTTTTTTTTATTCTCGTTCTTTCTCTTCTCATATACAGATTGCAATCAATCTTGTGTTCGTTTACAGTGTTCTGTTCATTACTTGCTTTCTTCTGCGAATTAAAAACAAAATAAGAAAACACGCAGATAGCTCATGACTGAATATAAGCTCGTCGTCGTCGGTGGTAAATATATTTAATAAACAAAACAAAAAACATGCTTATTTTTTTTTCTCTCTGTCAAAATAGCTGGCGGCGTGGGCAAAAGTGCATTAACAATTCAACTAATTCAAAATCAGTATGTATATTTTTCAATAAATGTAATAAAAAAAAAGGAATTATTTATTCTATTTGATAGTTTTATCGATGAATATGATCCAACAATTGGTATAAAACTGATTTTTTTATTCGAGATTATATTTATTTATTTTTATATGTATTCAGAGGATTCATATCGAAAACAAGCTGTTGTTGATGGTGAAACATGTCTACTTGATATTCTTGTATGTAGAAATTTTTATTATATTTTTTTTTAAATTAGTTTTCTTATTTATATTTGTAGGATACTGCTGGTCAAGAAGAATACAGGTATAAATATATATTAAACAAAAAGAAGTTTTATTATTTATTTTATTTAAAATTTTAGTGCTATGCGTGATCAATACATGCGTGGTGGTGAAGGTTTTCTATGTGTATTTGCTGTTAATAGTGCAAAATCATTTGAAGAAATAAAACAATATCGTGAACAGGTAAAAATTTATCATTTGAATAGATACAAAATTCAAAATCAAAATGAGAGGAATCAGTTTTCTTTTTCTATTTATTTAGATAAAACGTGTAAAAGATGCTGATGATATTCCAATGGTTTGTAAGTATAAATCAAAATATATATATATATAATTTATTAATTTTAATCAAAATAACAAAAAAACAAAATTCTAGTGGTGGGAAATAAAATTGATTTACCAACACGTACAATTGATTTATCCTATGCAAAAGACTTTGCGGCATCATTATCGATGCCATTTGTACAAACATCAGCTAAAACTCGGCAAGGTGTTGAAGAAGCATTTTATACACTTGTTCGAGAAATAAGAAAATATGTAAATAAAAAATTTCTTTTTGTTATAAAAGAAAACAATTTAATTTATTTTATTTTATTTTGTTTGTCTACCTTTCAGAAGGAACGTACACGTAAAGATCGCAAAGGACGAAAAAATAAAAATGGTGGTAATGGTACAAGTGGTAGTGGAAATAAATTTTCATTAAAAGATGGTCGAAGTCAAGGTGCAAAACGTAGTGGAAAACGAATCTGTGTGCTCATGTAGAACATTATTTTAAGTCATGTTTAGCAATATTTAAAAAGTCGTTTTTTGCTCTTTCTCTAATTCATATATAAAATGACGGATTTTTTTTTCTCTTTTCTTGCTTTGTATCCCTTTTTTCTCCCTGGATGTCAGATATTTGTTGTGTTTCCGAGAAACAACTTTTTTTTTGTTTGTGTGTGGTGTTGTGCTTTATTTCTTCGATGTTTCCTAGTCAAACAAATATACATGTCTCCTAGTTGTGATGTGATAGCACACAACTTTTTTCTCTTTTTTTGCTCTGCTTTGAAGCGTATTGTTTCTTCTTTTATTATTGTGTGTGCAGTAGCTTTGTTTTTTTTTTGAAATCTGAAGAATGAATCATCTTTTTTTTCTATACAAAGAAATATTTCGATTTTAATTTTTTTTTCTTTTTCTTTCAGAAAATATTTTTTTTTATGTCAATGTAAACATAATCAATATAGTATCTATTACAAACATGCAGACAACAGAAACAGTTACAACATCAAATATTGAATTAAACCAAAAGAAAGATGATGGATTAGCAGAAAACAATGACAAAAAAAGATCGGTACGATTTGAGCAAAATCCAAATTTTAAAGATAATTCTAATTAAACAAACTGAATTTTGTATTTAATTTAAACGTAAAGATTTGTATAACTAAGTCAATTAAACTTTCTTTTTTTATATCTATTATATCAAATCTTGATGTTATATATTTGATTGGTGGATTCGCAATGCTTTCGAAAAATGAACAATAGATATAATCAAACATTTTTTGATAGTCATAAACGTTAATTGAATCAATGAAATAAGGGATATCCTAAAATAAATAGATCTCTTAGTATTTTATCATTATCGCCGTCAATGTCTATTACTTCGACTTAGATTTTTTTACTAAACTATTCTTCGTTCAATTCTTTACAAAAGCAACTAAAACATTTCAGTATTGAAAAAAAAAAAAACTAACAGTGTTTGAAGGCTGTATATGGTCAAATTAACAGTATTTACTTTCAATAGTTAGTTCTTTTTTTTTTCTTTCTGACTAGACATGCATTTAAGAAAATTTCGTCTCAGTTTTCAAGTGTACTCTTTCTCGTCACCCTTAGTGAAGATTTCTTTTCTTTGCAAAGCATACCGATGCACGCATGTCGAATTTTCTTGCAGAACAACGTAACACTACTGAAAATGTCATACTTTTTCTATGAAACTTATATATCATACCAGTATGTTGTCTATACTTAGTCAACAAATCATTTGTCTTCATATTAATGATAATATTGGAATACAAAAAATAAATTGGTATATAACATAGGCATAGAAATTTTTACGAAATGATGCGAATAGTTTTTTTTTTTTCTCTACAGAAATCTTTAAAATGTCTAAAATAAGGAAAAAAGTCTGATTGCACGCCAATCAAAGCGTGTAAATGAAATTTGATTAAATATGCAGAAAGAGCTTTTCAAGAGCTTTTGAATGAATGATTAATTTTGTTTATATCTTGCATGTCTAACAGTTAATAGAATGACACAACGAGAAAACAATGTTACGAAATACGTTATGTGAATGTTATATTGTCTATGTTTGATTGTTAATATTTTATGCGGAAATATTTTACCAAGGCAAATTTTGAGAAAGAATTTCAGTCAAAATAATGAACATTGACAAAGATATTGATAAAATACTCGGAGACACATTTATTTTAGGACACCTGTTACATTGATTTATGGAATTAAAATAGATTAACATTTCCACTGTTAGAGTTATCAATATAGAAATGCGGTTGATTTCAATGCAAGTCTCTCATGCTTACTAGATATATATTCGATCTTAGACTAAAAGTGAATAATTCAATAATTGTGAATGCATTTGAAAAATGCTATGTTAACATAAATTTTAAAAGCTTATATCCAAATTTCATAAGTCTGCTTAAATATAGTTAGAATAAATGAGTTTTCTTTTTTCTTTTTTCTTTTCTAATATTCAAGTGTTATAGAGTGATAATTTATAAAAAATAATCAAGGTTGTAAATTTCAGTTAGTTCATTTTTTCTCACTTATAACTTCAATTTTCATGATAATTAAAGTATGATTCTTTTTGTTTTTTCTTTTAGCGTTTCCGAAGTCCGATCAGGTAAGATGAATATAACACTTATCAACAACAGTAAAAAATAACTTATATCCTTATTTTAATTGGATCTATATATCATTTTACTAGATAAAAAAGTACTCTATCTATTGTATATATTTATTTTTAGTCATATTTATGATAATATTTTTTTCTTATGTAGCAAAAATTATATATATATATGTATATTATTCTTTAGAAATATTTTTAAGCCGAAAAAGGACGATGAAAAACCAGCACCTTATTATCGACTTGAAGAAGAAAATCAATATTCTGACTTACAAGTAGATTTTCATTCATTCATGATAAAAAAATACAAAAACAAAAAAACTTTTAAATCTCATTTCGTTTTAGTTTCAAGAGCCAGAGGTCAAAGTACCCATTTACGCCATTATTTTAGCTATTGCACTCTTTCTTATCGGTTCTGTGATGATTATACTAGGCTCGTTAATGTTAACTCGTCGCATAGAAACACAAGTTTGTATTTTTCTTTTCAATACGGTATATGATTGTTTGCTGGTTTTTTTTTTGCTGTTATAGTATAGTGATCGTACATGGCCATTAATACTTGTGGGAACATTAGTTTTTCTACCTGGTTTTTATCATTTACGTATTGCTTATTGGGCATGGAAAGGAGATCAAAATTTCTCATTTGCTGATATACCAGACCTTGATTGGTTTTGAATATTAGTTCATTGATACTCTGTACAGTTATTTTTTTTCTCATACTTATTTCTTTTTTCAATTACAAATAAAATAAATATTTGTTTAATTGTTCGATATTCTATTTCATTTATTAATCGATCAAATTTCTTTTTTTTCCACAATTATTAAATCAATACATACTCATATAAATTTCTTCAGCGATCATTCGGAAAACATGAGCTGTATAAGAAAATAAGTAATTGTTCACGATAAAAATAGATTTCTCGTTTATAAAGAATTTCACACAGCAAGATTCTCGGAAGCTTACTAATACTCTCGACATGTTTTCCGAAACTGAGAATTATTTTAGAGACTTTTTTGATCGATTGTAGAATCTTTTGAGATTGTCGAAATATTAAGCAAAATGTCTGTTAGCATTTTTATCTATTTGATTTTAGTTTGCAATAGCTTAATTGACTCCATATCAATCGTCCAGCCCAATCGTAAATTCGATTCTTATAAGTTCAACTGTCAAATATTTAATTTGAGCATATGACTTTCGAGTTCTTGAATATTATCAATCCAATGATAACCCAGTGAATGATAAATATACAGCAATCTGTGGATCCTCAGAATAAAATTGATAATATGATTTATCTCGTACACATTTAAAATAGAATACAATATGATAGCATAGAAAAAAAATTAGCAATGTCATATTCGTAATTTAATTTATAATTTAAGATACGTTGTAGTAAATCCAATTGGCGTTTAACGAAATGACATTGTTGTGTTTTATAGAACGTTAAAAATTAGAAATGAAGTATAATCGTAAATTTCTAAAGACGTAATCGGTATTTTTACGGTCTAATACCCCTTTTCATAGTCTGAGAGACTCATAATTATTTTTCCTTTTCATTTGCATCATTATCATTCATTAATATTCACTTCAATTTTCCAAAAAATTTGAAAAATCTACTATTTTTTTTTCTCTATTTTTTTCCAGAATACGCTGCTTAAAATTTGCTACGTCAACATTTGTGCTACAAGGACAAACGTTTTTTTTTTTCCTTTTGCTAAATCGCATCTTCTTCCAACATACATCTAAAGCTTTACCTCGTCTCTACTGTTGCCCTTGCCGATAAAGAGGAAAGAAAAATCGGTGTTGACTTTCTTTTTTTTTTTCTTCTATCCTTTTCTCTAGCGCCATATATAAACTGAGAACATGATGGTGTATAACGAGACAAAAGAAAAAATAGAGTATAATATTTCGATTATTTTAGATCGCTTGAGCAATGTGTATGAAAGTAACTTGTGACAAATGTGGCAAACCAACATGGAGAGGCTGTGGCCAACATATTGAACAAACATTGAAAGATGTTCCGGTTGCAGATCGATGCAAATGTCCAAGAGATACACCAGCAAAATCTGATGGTTCAAAATCATGAGCAATATAATCAGATCAAGAATGAAGAAAAAAAGACTTATAATTGTATTCCATTAATTTTTCTTTTTAATATCCGTTTTCCCACTTGTTTCAATAAATAACTAGAGAATGAATATTTATTTATTAACTATTTTTACAGAAGTTAGTTGTTAATTGAGAAATTATAAATAAAAAGTTAGTTGATTTTAATGTAGACTATTCGGTACAGTTCACATTCATGAACCAGCTTGACCTATGTTTTTTAAGTACACAAAATGCGAGCAAACAAACAAAATACATTACTCATATATCTAACACTTTGTCATGTAGAAGATTTTCAGAGAAAAATATCTGAATATATTAAACATCAAAATTTATAATCTATACAGTTTATTTATAAGCAATTGTGTCTACTAAGTGTTAATAAACAAATTTTTCATTAAAAAATTAAATTTGATCGATAGTCGACTTCGTTATCATCAATATCAACTTGATGATTAATTGTTCGAGGGATATGCATTTGTTTTTTTGGATATTTTTTTCAATCATAAGCAAGAGAAACTTCTCTTTTTTTTAACACATGTCATTCTTCGTCATGTCATATTTAGAAACGAAGGTTTGCTAGCAGCTGTAAATTATCAATTAGATGTAGTCTTTGGTTTTTCTGTTTATTAGTAATAGATTGAAAAATATATAGAATCATTATCCAAAATAGAGCTCGATATTAATCACCATATTTTTCTACATTGAAATGTTTCAATAATTTTTAATAAAATTCTTTCGATATCTACTGACATCTTTGTTTCATCGAATTGTTATCACGCGGAAGAAATAACCATACAAAGTATTACTCATATGTTATATTATCACAGCTGTTTTTTTTCTTTAAAACTCGAACTCTTCTATATTCTTTTCTTTTCTTTTTTTTTTTTTTTTTATTAGTATTAGTTTTCATTTAAAAATGGGTAACATATGTTCATGGTGTTTTAAAACTGAAGATGATTCACAATTGAATAGTAATCTCGATGATCATTCAGAGATTACTAATTCACAACGTCCATTATCTACACCAAAAGTTAATGATCGAACACCGTATGTTATTTGGTTCTTAATTGTTTAAGATTTTATGTTTTTTAAATAGACTTTTAAGTAAATCGGGTAATCATAATAATCAATCAGTGACATCAGCTATTTATAATTCACAATCAAATGGCGAAATATTACCAGCAACACAACTTCCACAACCACCTTTAATTAATGAAGTTAGAACAGATACCAAAGCAGGTGTGAATAAAAACAGAAATGAGAAATATTTATAATTTAAATTGTTTTTTTTTTTTTTTTTGTATAAAAATTTTAGCAAATGAAACAGCTGAAAGTAAAATGGCATTTATTGTTGAAGGAATGCTATCGAAATTAATTGATGTTAGTAATAGTGGTTCTAATATTCATCAAGCAAATACAAATACAAATGAATTAGATACAGAAAATGATTATTTAAGACAATTATTAACAAAATCTTTATCATCAACAAAAATATTAGCAATACCAGATGCTGGTTTAAATAATCTTCCATCATTACTTTCTGGACGACCAATATCATCTGATATATGTCATTTTGTAGCACATACAGCCGGTGAATTATCAAGTTTATTAATTAATGAAATAAAGATAATTCATAAAGAACAACTTGTTGTTGTCTTCGAATAAGAACTCATATATAAATATATATATATATAGTTATTATGTGTGATTGTTATTCATTTTTAAGTGCTAATTTTTTTTTATTCATCATTGATAGAATTTTTAAAAAAAACACCCACACATCTATATTTGTGATAAGTAAATTTTTTCTCTAGATTAAGCAAATATGACAGATGAAAGCAATATTGTGAAATCAGCCGTAAGTTTTTCTTTGTTAATGTAATAGTAATTTGAATTTCGATATTTATTAGAATAAAAACGATGAACAAGAAAAGGTGATTAGAACAAAAACAAAAAAAAAACAGTGTTTTCTAAAAATTTTGTTGATATGTGTTTATTTGATATCTTGTTTTTTTAAGATTGAATCGGATATTGAAGAGGATGATAATGATGATGTAGACAATAGAAGTAATGCTACAACTACGGATGATGAATTTTATAATGAACTTATGGATGCCCCACCCGAAAGGGAAGATCATTTAAGTGAGATGAAAAAAAGAAATTCAAGAAATATTTTAAAATTTATTTATTTATTTATTTTTTTTCATTTTATAGTGCCCGATGGATGTAGTGATGAAATAATTGCTATTGAACATTTAACATCGTGTCTTAATCGTCGATATAATTCATGTCCAGTCGTTTTTACCGGTACACTTAAAGACGCTTTAATAGAAGCTTTTAATTCCAAAGAAATTAAAGAAGTAAAAGACTTATTTGTTACTTTGTATTTGATTTGCTTTGTGGTTTCTAGCGACGACCACTTCTTATCTATGTGAATAATGATAAAAGTCTTTATTCAAATGTATTTTGTAAACAATTATTATGTCATGATAAAATTATTGACTATTTAGTAAATAATTATGTTCTTTGGACATGGGATGTTACATTTGAATCAAATGGAGAAAAGTAAGATGTTCTCACTTTTTTTTTCGTTCTTTAAAATTTCTAATGAGATTAAATTCATCATTCCTAATAATCAAATCAATCGAATTTTTTTGACCATAGAGTTAAACGTAACCAAAATAAAAATATTACGTTAGCTTTATTTGATTTTAATGCATCATTAACTCTATCACAAGTTTGTTTGCTTATTTTTTCTTCTTCTTGATGACATATATACTTTTGCAAGTATTCAGGTGCGTACCTTTTCGTAATATGTAATATAAAAAAAGGCAACATTCATCAAGATATGAATTATTTTTGTCTGATAAAATCATTTTTTTTTGTTTTATCGTATTTATAACGAAGAGCAAATATTTGACATTCGAAATACATGAGAAACGATATCGATTAATGTTACTGCAAAGAGAATTATTCGCTAATAAAATATCATATTGCAAACTTATTTTAACCGATGAGATTTATTTAATTTTAAAAATGAGTTCAAAACTTTTATAATCCTATTTCGATTGAGTCCAACTTAAAAAAGATAACCTTAGAAATAAATATTTGTTAGATTTGAAAGTTCTTACCATTTTAATGAAAATATCATTGCAAAAATTTTCATTGAATGAGAGATCTGTTTTATGCAACGGCTCTCTATATAAAGTAGATCCTCATGATGTATGAAAAACGTCTAAAAATATAAGTGCGTTTATATCTTTCCTATAGACTTTTAGGCATTTTATTAAAATTTCAACATATGAAATATACCAATAAATCTAATATCGGTATTTCGATGTCAAATTTTGTCTACAAACAGATATTCTTGTAAATTGATTACTCCGAAGATATCATCTCAATAGAATGTTATTTTTATGAGATAATGAAGTTCGAAATAATATTCATAGTCTATGAAGGATGCGAGACTCTTATGTGTTTTTTTTCTGGAACTTGAATATCTCATAAAGATAAAAATTTTTTCGATTGAATTTTTTCGAGCATTCTATTTATAAATCGGCCTAAACATGATAGAAATACCATTATTCTATTTATTGCTATATATCATGTCATACGCTGAAACATCAGTAAATAGTTATAACTGTAGAGAAAAACTACAAGGACTCTTATCATGTCAATATTTTTTTTTATATATCCCAGGGGTCTACTTCATGCAGAGAGTCTCGAACTCGAAAACGATAATAGTGTGTGGCGTATACAGAATGAAAACAATTTTATTCTGCTTTTTTTTTTAAAGCTTTAGACAGCGTCTAAAACTAATCATTTTCAAAGAAAAAAAAGTCTTATCGAACACTATGTCAACAACAAATGTTAATCTGTAAATAAAAATATTCAACAAGACTGATTCTATTATTCAGCATGAATTCGTAGAAAAAATTTGATTGGCATTCTTAAATAACATTTCTGAGAAGACAACAAGCAAAAGAAATTAAATCATTGGTTGACATCACACATATTATTTTAATTTAAAAATAACAAAAACATTCAATGATTAGGAAAACATTATGTTAAATGAAAAAAAACACATAAGAGTCTCGCATCCTTCATAGAATATGAATATTATTTCGAACTTCATTATCTCATAAAAATAAAATTCTATTTAGATGATACACTCGGAGAAAAC